AGGGGAGGAGGGGGTCTGTAACTATTGACGCATACATATGAAAATGGAAACGTGTACAGTTACCCTATTCTGAGTTCTTTTAACCATGTTAAAAGGTGAGTTTTTCATGATTTTTAAATTTGTTTTGAAAGCAGGTATTTTGAATGGCTCTATCACTGTGATCATCACTTTTTAACCATTTAATCATATTAATCCATAAAGCAAATGTTGTAGTTAAAATGTACTAAATTTTGATTTCTAATACCAATCAGGAGCTCACGTAAAGTTTTCTAAAGCTGTGAAACTTCCATACTTTTAACAAAGTTATATCAAAACCTACTGAAATTCTTTTATTTAGAAGATTTTAAAACATATTACAAAATACTTCAGTCATGGAAACTATTGGTGAGAAATTCCAACTTTTATTTTTTTGGCAATAAAATCATGATACTGAAGCATATTTTGCATTACTTTTCAAATGATATCTCTATGAAATGTAGGACAATTGTGTGACATTAATACATAATATTTAACCACTTAGTTTTTCATATGAATTATAACCAAAATATTAGTATACTAATTTACAATTTGTAAGTGTCTACATATACTGTGGAAAGCATGAAAGTTTACCATCTAAGTCTAATCATGAAGATGCTTTACCACTTCAGAAAATAATACTTAGCATAAAATTAATGATTTAATCATAAAACGTGGAGAGTCAATGATTAATACTGAAAATAATCTTTTACTTAATTTTTTGCCCTTATAGTCACTTCTACCTTTTGCCAATTGCACAGTTTGAGTAAAAGCCCTTAGAGGGTAATGAGGGAGCAAGGCAAAGTTTACTGAACTGGTACTTTGCTAAAACTCTCCCAAGAGCACCTTGTCTTCCTTCAGAAAGAAGCCAAATTCTTCAAGACCATTCCAAGAATTAGCTCTAGTTTGCTGCCTACTAAAAAGATTGAACTGTTTACGAATTTTAATGAGTTGCAAAACTGCCAGGAAATTATTACAATGGTTGCAACCAAAGAATGGACAGCATTTTACAGAAAAATTTGGCAGTTAGATTTACACTTGAGAATGGCAGATCTTAAGTCTGATTATTCCCAGTGCTGAAGACACTTAATTTTAACTGAAATATAAATTCTACAATGAGCTAATAAAAAAAGCCATTTTATACTCAGAAAAATAGTCAAAGTCCTTGGGCTTACTCATTTATTTGCCCTAAACTTATAACTGCAATGTTGGAAGAAATTTAAGAGTTTAATCCATCCATTAGCTCTTGCTCCAAACTATAGTTAACAGCGGTGGAGTATACTGCAGCATTCCAGGATAGATCAAATCAGTTGTTATCAATACAGAACTATTTCGCTTGACAGCTACCTAACTTTTTAGTAGTTATCAAAGTTAGAACTTTACTTTTTTAAAATTTAGAGCCCTATCTTAGCCTCTATAGTAAAATGAATAAATTTTAAATGTCTAATCTCTTTTCCATTGAGTCGTTCAACAAATATCCCCTGAGGATCCATCATAGCCTCTAAGGACACAAAGATAATATTTCTAGAAACACATCAATAAAAAAATCACAATTATGTACTGTTCAGTTTTCTTTTACAAATATTTATTAAAAGGCTATTATTTTTGAGTTATTTGTTGCATGTTGCATTATATGTAGGGAATAAAAATGACTACTAGTAAAGGGTTGGTTCCTGCCCTAATGCAGTTTGAAAACCAGAGGGGAAGTCAACAGGCCATTATAACAGAAAATGCTAAGTACTATCACATTGTAGGGCCTTCTAACATAGATTTGCAATTCCAATGGTTTCCAGAATTGAAACAGATACAAAATTACTCAAGAAACAAAAATCTCTGTAATTTTTTAAAACTCCATATTAGATGCGTTCCCATATATATATGAATATAAGTAAATATAGACCAGTTGTTTTAACAGTAATTTCAGCTTGAAAATGAGCTTGAAATGTACCAACTCTTTAGGGTGAATGTAATAATTATGTAATGCAAACATATACTAATAAAAATGTTTTAAAAAGAAAAAAATATACAACACGTTTAGAGCTCTGAAGCCAGGTAACCTGATAATGTTTTAGAGCAGATAGCTAAAATAAACATAGCACTGTTCTGATTTGTGTTTCTAGAACCCAGTAAAATTCTTTCTAAATTTTCTGGCATTATTTGTGAAATGTACAGAAAGTGTCATTTTTCTTCCAAGAACCTAGGAAGTTCTGTGTACATTAAATGCTGAAGATATAGAGGGAGAAATACAAACTTAAGATATACTATCAAATCATTCCATTATAACAAGTGTGAAACCAAAGGTACCTGAACAGTGCTGTGAGAACCAAGGTAATGGATTTTCCTCCACTAATGGGCTTTCATCACTCAATGTCCTGAGTGAAGAATTTATCAAGTCCAGGGGGAAGATGGAATAAAGTATTTTGTAGGTATTTGGGAGGTATCTAAAATAGCAGACCATGCCGGGCACGATGGCGCACGCCTATAATCCCAGCACTTGGGAGGCAGAGGCAGGAGGATCGCTGCGAGTTCAAGGCTAGCCTGGGTGACACAGTGAGTTCAGGGCCAGCATGAACTACAAAGTGAGACCCTGTCTCAAAAAATAAATAAATAAAAAAGTAAAATAAAATAGTAGACCAGACCCTCTCATATGGTAGACAACTGTCATCCTTGCTGACAAACTACACAATCTAGAGAAAAATTCTTCAATTCAAGCAAAGATGCAGGACAAAAGTCCTCCCAGATATGTGAGGTGTAACCCACATCTGAGGTCTACCAAATCAGCTCTAAATGAAGTTAAAAGGAAATGAGACTATTGTTGAGGAGGAAAGAGCTAAACTTTATAGCAATCAGTATGAACAATAGTATAATTAAGAAAAGTCAATTTGGCAAGATAGTTAATGTGTATTTAGTTTGAGGTTTCAAAGCTTTCTTTCCAATTCTGACACTATAAAGGCAAAGAGAAAGTAAGTTTTTGTCCTGAACATATTTTAGTGGAGAATGTGAGTAGCCTAATTGGCAAAGAAATCTAAACTTCAAAAGAAATTCCTTTAACACCTTAAGACAATACATATTCTTTCATAATGCTTACATACTGGAATTCACCAGAAAATCTACCTAAATGTGTCTTCGTATCATTTACATAATTCTTTTGTGAAATGGCTTCTTTTACTTGTTATCTCAGGGAAGTCCTTGTGCTTGAGAGACTAGCTCTAGCAAGTTAGAAGTTGTATGAGCTTACGCACTGTAAGACTAATTTTCTTTATCTGTACAATGGAATTACTAGTATTCACTTTACAGGCTTTTAAATTCATAGTATGTTATGCTTTTGGCACAAGATTGGCTCCTAATACAAAAAGCAGGGTGGAGGGAGCAGGGTGGAAGATATTAACCATACCACCTCTCTAGCCAGAGACCTATCATTTATAGCTATGGGTGTATAGGTCTGAAGAAAGATCTTTAGATGCCTCCCTTATCCAAGACAGCCTCTTTCTAGTTTCTGTAAACATGTCTACCACATGATCATCTTCCCTCCAGTATCTTATAGGTGTGCATCTCAAATTCCCAAAACCTTATTTTCTTCTTACATTAGGCTCTTGAGTTGGTTCCTCAAAATAAGTAGAAAAAGCACTCAGGGAGAAGCAACTTAACTCTAAAATCTGTTCTGTGAATAATCAAAGGGAACACATTTCAAATCTTGATCAGTCTGGAAAAAGTCATTTCAATAGAAGAATATTCAACCAAATCAACAGCAAAATAACACTTAACATGTTGCATATTATTCTTTTATTAAAAAGCTTCATAGTGAAGCCACCTGAGACTTCATTTCTTCCAGATACGTTTTTCCTTTTTCCTGTGCAGTTTCTGGTTGTTCACATTCCATAATGGTGGTTAGTGCTTTCCAAGGAAACGTTCAGGAGGCAGCTGCCTTGGAGGTAGGTCACCAGGACTCCTCTGTATTTTAAAAAAAGACTCCAAAGAAAGGCTCCAAAATGGGTGCAGCTGCACAGGCCTTGCTAGCTGCTAGAGGTAGGTCCACTGCTGTATGCTGCTCTGCTTTTTAGGCCCAAAGTCTGTTCTTGGCTGTGGTTTTTAAAAAGCCCCTCAACAGATGCTCTACTTAATAACTATAAGACAACAAAAACTAGAATTACAAGCCAACAAGATCACACTGTTTCTTAATAATACTTTATTATGTTAACTTGTTAAGTTAAAAAAAAATACCAATACTGATATTTGAAACTCTGGTATTTTTTAATGTTATTTAAGACATTCACAAAAAGCTGCCATTCTCCAGCTCAGTACTTACGCAACAGGTATTATGCATGCAGCCAACATGCTTAAAAGCACATGCATCTAAAAAGAGTTGCCACTCTGAAACCTAATACAATTTGGCCCTGCAGTTAAGAAGCAGGCTAAATTCTAGCAACTTACATAGATACCACATATCACCGAACTATTTCTAAACGTAGGCTTAGTGTTGTTGGTTGGATACATAAGTTGGATACATAGGTTATTTAGCCATTTACAGAATAATACCAGAGCTTATCTTTTCTACTGGTGGGGGTATGTGTCCCTAAGTAGGCAAAAGGGACAGAATTTCATAACTGTATTCTGAGGGCACCTCCTACTTTGTAGGAAAAAAAAAATCAATCTGTTTTTGGGAAAGTTTCCTATTCTACCTTTCTCTTAAACTACCACCGTGCAACACATTAAAAATCCTGAAATAAGGCTAGGCGTGGTAGCTCACGCCTGTAATCCCAGCACTTGGGAGGCTGAGGCAGGAGGATCGCTGTGAGTTCAAAACCAGCCTGGGCTACATAGTGAGTTCCAGGTCAGTCTCAATTACACAGTGAGACCCTGTCTCAAAAAAAAAAAAATCCTGAAATAAAGACAATGGACACATTCTATACTGACAGAATTAAGAAAAAACAGCTTATTAGTTTCAGCTTTGTGCTCACTTTGATCTGTTATTGGTGGCTGTCTGCAATAATCTTTACAGCTTAACAAGAGAATGTAACACAACTGATGAAAAATTTCTACTTGACAGAAGTGTAGGCCACTACTAGTTCCTTATAACTTTTTTAAAATGCTGACATTAGGTAAGGATGTAGTACTTTCAACACTGGTTCCCAGCTCCCTTTCCATTCTCAGTTTTAGTATTTAAGATACAAGAAAAAGAAGAGAGGAAAGGGGAAAAGAAAATTATTTTAAAACATGACAAAGGGTAAATCTCTGTCAGCTTTATTTTCTAACCATCCATTTTTTTCAATCAAAATCTGAGACGCCTATATTTATGTGGCGAGCATGAGCTGTGATTTAAATACCTATCTTGAAAATGTGAAGAAAATGTAGAGTGAAAGAGATCCTTGTCTTTCCAGTCAATATTCTATGTTCTTAAAAGAAGGCAGTTTTAAAAGACTAGTGACGTTACGTTTCCAAGGGAAGAGTGACTTCTTGGAAACAGCCTCATCTCTCCTGAAAGAGACGCCCAAAGCACCACGGTCTCACACGGTTCTTCCTTTAGCGTGTTTCTAAAAAGGCAACCTGAGGCAGCACAGTTACTTCAAGAATGTGTGTTGAATTTGAGCCAACCTTTTCTTAATTGGGACTTTACCTTTTTGAGTTCATGTCTACTCAGATTACAAGTATTATTCTTTGGACCAGATGTGTGCAAACACAACACAAAAATGGAAAACATGATAAATAATGCAGGCATATTGGAAGTAGCTGAGAAGCAAGCTTAAGCAAAAAGTACATAAGAATAACCTCTGCAGTCACCTTCCAAGTGAATAAATAGACATTGATGTGCACAAGCCAAGAGGAAAAGGGAGAAGCTGGCTTTTAATAAGGAAGTTAAAAATATTTCATTGGAGCTCACCCAGTTTGTTCCTCAGATGTGGTAAATCATACATCCCCACAGATCCCAGCTGCATGAACAACTGACTGATAAAATCAGTGACATCCTACGAAGAGTTTATATTGGTAAACTGTTATGTTGAAAATAAACATTATCAGGAAAACAAAATTGGCATGCATTAAATGCTAATGTTCTGATAACTTTCCCTCAATTAAAACACTAAAGGCTAAATTTCTGAGCTTGATATGCTGACTTTTGTACACCTACATCAAAAATAATTCTGAGCCAGGCGTGGTGGTGCACTCCTGTAATCCCAGCACTCAGGAGGCTGAGGGAGGAGGATTGCTGTGAGTTCGAGACCAGCCTGGGCTACATAGTGAGTTCCAGGTCAGTCTCAACAACATAGTGAGACCCTGTCTCAAAAAAACAAAACAAAACAAAGTAATTCTGTAATTGTCATATCTTAAAAGGAACTGCAAAAGGCACAGCGAAAAATAGGAGCAGGATTGCTAAATCCTTCATTTTGGAAACATGATTAACATTACTGGTTGTTACAAACTTAAAACTGACAAGCTACTAGCTCATAAAATGGGCAATTAAATCCTCTGATAAAGTTTCTCAAAATGTTGAGTTTAAGTGGCAACCTACTTTAGAAACACCGATGGTAGTATTGTTCTTTAGTTTATAATTCTATTAATATTGAAGGGCATGAAAGGAGAGCCCAATTAGAAAGCATTTAGATGGACTCACTATCATCTAATAAATTTTTAGCTATAACAAGTCTAATTTCCCTTCTCTATTTTTTCCAGCCTTTCAGCAATTTTACGTTAACCTTCAAAATAAAAGTCAGTTCTTTCTCTACTGCTTTGTAGTTCACTCCGTTTCTTTTACCGCCTCAGAAAAAGTGAAATGAGAAAACAGTCAAGAAGTAAAAGGCCTATTCAACTGGAGGGCATTCTTCAGAGCTTAGTTTGTCACATGACTTCCTTACTCTAGGCAATTTAGGAGGCTGTACAGACCAGCTCTGCGCATGCTTATCATTAAAAAAAAAAAATGAACCAAGTATATAAAAGCATAAAGGAAAGGAAAAAATCACTGAGTCACTTATCACACCAAGTCAGACATCATTATTTTTATATTCTTCTTGGTTTTGTTGCATTGTGCTTCTATATGGGAGATTGGTTGCTTTTAATACGCAGATGCTTTAAAGAGATGTAAGTTTGCCAGGGTGCTAAGTATAACTAAATGGCAAATACTATTGAAATCTGGTAGTCTCAGAAACTGGCCTTCAGATAATATGATCATTAATTTTGGCCGCACAATCTTTTAAAAGAAAGCCTCTGAGAAGTTTCCTTTGGCTATAGGAATAATTACCCTCTATTGTTTTATATAGCGTTGTTCCAAATGCTTAGGAACCTGCCTGGATGGGCCCTAAATGCATGTAAATGTGTAATCTCTATAAAGTGTTCAGATAACATAACACATGGAAAAGTTGAATTAAAAAAAAGAGTGTTTTATTCCAGCCCAACTCTATGCACAAACATTCCATGTTAAGATTTATTTCCTTCTAAGTTTTATCTTGCTTGAAATCACATGCAAAAAAACAAAAAAAGACAGATTATCTCCATTCCACCCTTAATTTTTCAAGCAGTTAAAATTGAAAAACTTTAGGAATCTCAAATCAGGAAAAATGTTCTTCTTTTAGCTGAGGCCTAAATAAGAAGTAGTGAGCAAATCAAGTCCCTAGGAATAGGACAGGTTTCATAACGGATTCAACACAGAAGTGAGGAGAATGGTGAGGCAGCAGCAACTGCCTGCTGGGTGGCAGGATACGCAAAGGGAACAGAAGGTATAGCAGGAGTTCTAAAAGAAGACCCTACAAAAACTACCTATTATTCCACAGACTCCGGCAGGGACAACACGAGCAGCGCACATCTGAAGAAGGTAGAGGAAGCCAGTGGTATGATCTGGTATGAGTCAATAGAGAGATCTGGAAACCCCGCTCATTTGTGGAGTAACAATATACAGAGTAAGGATAGCAAGTGTACACCCTAAAACTTTCAGATACTTTTGTAATGGCTTGGGTTGAGCAGATCCAGTTTGCATAAGACACAGAGAAATGAAACAGCAAATATAATCTAACTTTTCATAATTCCTTATTTAAAAAAATAAAGGCATTCTCTAAGTCTGGAAAAAAATTCTCCTGTGCTTTACTCATTAAAAAAGACTTACTTGTCTTGAGGCACACATCCCCCCGACTATGGTTTCCCAGGTCACTGTAGGAAACACAAGCTTTTTGTTAACAAATGTCGCAAAAAATGCTTGACTTTCCTAAAGTCAACATGACCTTATGGTTTTCTCAAATTTTTAAATCTTTACAGTTGTCATTCTTGCAGTAATCGTATTTGGTAAAATCATATATTACTTTGAAAAATGTTTATCTGGACTTATGTTAAAAGATATGTTAAAAAACAATTATCTTATGTCTATTCTACTCTGGTTGTCAAAATTATAATCCTTATTACATGGTCTAACTACTGACCAGAATGGTTGATTATTTTCTGCAAGAAAAACACAAACAAAAACAAAACATAACAAACAAACAAAAAACATGGCCCTGATAATAGTGGTTCTGTCAAATGTTAACTTTATAAATATCGAGCAAAATCAGCTGGGTAGGAATGCTCTTCCAATGTTATTCCTAGTGAAGAAAACTAGTCCCATGCCATCCAGAAGCTCACGTTTAGACATGGTTCCGATGTACCTGCCAAATCACTGGCTGTTTATTTGCATATACTTATGGGTGAGAACACTTTTAACTTCATTTGGCTTTAAAAATTGGCTTCCTTTTGACCTAATGTGTCTTATGTTCCAAGGCTACTACAAAAGACTCCCAAGTCTTCCAACACTGATCTGAAAAGAAATACAAAGAAGAACTCCAGTTCTTCATTCAGCCATCAGATATTCCATGTCCCTGATGAAAAATATGATGAAAACTGCCCTTGTCTACTTCTAATTTTTATCTCTGGTAATTAAATAATGATTTTCGCAGTTTCTGCACCAGTTGCTCCAATTCTACAGTACTGTAGAGTGAGAAGTCTTCTAACACAAGTGGATAAATTACTTATCTATTTATGTGCTAGTATCTTCCTTCTTATTAATTTTTTCAACTGATTTCTGAATTGCTTTCTACATCATCTATTTTTATTTTTTAATAAATATTAACTAAGTACCTAGTGGGTGGCCAAAAAAAGAGACAGAAGAAAAGGAAGGAAAAGACAGTGATGACAAAGACCATAAATTATGCATAGGGTTATGGTATATCATAAAAATTGAATTTTTTTTCCCATGGTTCTAGAGAGTAAATCTGGGGAGCAATGAGCTCCCAGGTCCAGCCCTTTTTTTTTTCTGAAACAGAGTCTCACTGCCTTGCTCAGGCTGGTCTTGAACTTGTGATCCTCCTGCCTCAGGCTCCCATAAGTGCTCACCACCAGACCAAGAAGTTAGGTGTCTATTGCTGCTTTGTCTTTTGTCATCCTTAACAGATTCATTCTCCACTTTCCCACGAGTACTTATTATAAATAGCCAACTCTTACCAGATGTTCCAAAGTCTGTAAACTCTGCCCCATGAAAATATGCTTTTATTTATACTCTGTGAGTATAATGAGAAACAGCCAGTTTTGGACTTGTAAATTCAAAGTACTTGAACCATTTAATACTTAGCTTACAGGAAAAGTTCCAATTCTGTCAGAACATATGGGAAAGACTACACGCTGTACTGCACTCTTTTAGGCCAGAGAGTGTCTGCAACTTGAAACGGTATGCTTGAATATAAAAATGGACAACTATCTTTCCTACTCAAAAAAGACAAAACACTAGCTGGACCACCTGGGCTAGCTTTTACTTCAATCAGCCCAATGAATAGAGTAAGTCCTATGTTTTGCATTTCTCTGCTATTTAGTCATCTAAATTACTCATATTTATCTAGTACTTTGTACTACTTTCAATGAGTCATTCAGGTCAATTTCTCAGCACCAACAAGCAATAAGAAAGGTAGCAGATAATCTCAGAGCACAAAATTTATAACCTCCTTATGTTTCCTACAGACTCAATAGAAGGCCAAGTGAGTGAGGTAACATTTAGAAATAAATGTGTAGAACTAAAGTTAAGAATTCTGTCATACTTACAAAATGCAAATACAATGGATTGGACATATTCAAACAAAGAATAGGTTTCTTTTTTAAACCTAAGATTATAATCTTAAATAAAGAGAAAACATAACACTAACTTCTCTTGGAAAAAGTGGTATCAAGTCTGGTAACACTCTTGATCTAAGATTAAAATTCCAAACACTTCTGATCAGAAGAGATTTCAGACATTAGATCAAATCAATGGAAACTTAAACTAACCTTAAAGAAGGCAAACCATTTGTAGTCATTCAACACAATCTCGAAGCCTTGGTTATAAATGATGGTGAAATATCCAGAATTGCCAAAGTTATCATAGGCTGTATCCATCTTCTTCAGGTGCACCACAACTTTTTTTTCTGGTGATTCTAAAGAGAAAATGTATAAATAACAAAGGAAAGTTAGTTGAACTTCAGTGGTGGTAGTGACCTCTTCCATAATTTCTAGCATTTGATTAAGCAGCTTTTCTTTCATGCTAATCCAGTTTGGGCTCTCAGTCTGGCTTATGAAGAAATCAGTCTTCATCTTGTAGCATGCCTCTGTAGTCCTAAGAAATGGCATGTAGTCTGGGGGGAAAAAAAATCCACTCGAGAAATAAGGAATGTAGGGCCACTGAGTGGTTTGGGCTCCTGCCTCTCAAGCGCAAAGAACTGAGTTCAAACCCTGGTGCCCCCCCCCAAAGAAATAAGGAATGTGTGATGCTCAAAATTACAAGGAGAAAAAGAAGAAAACAAAGTGATGGTCAAAAAGTAAAAAAATAAAAGCTATGACAAGTAGGTAAAACGAACTACCACCCATGAAACTCATGAGGACAATGTGTGAAGCCCAGAAGACAGGAAATGATCAATTCTGAGAAGAAACAAGGTATCTTTTTATTTCAACAGCTCTAACATGAGAACCTCTGAACATGAAACCTTCACACTCATCAAACTTAAAGTTTCTATCCCATAAAGCTAATCTGTGCTGACAGCAATTGTATGTCCAACTTTCAGAGACGAGGGCTCAGATCTGTGTGTATCTTTAATTACTGGATTAAGGTCAAAGGTAGGTTTACAGGCAGGGGCTGCCTGCAAGGGTTTCAGATGTGTCCCTCCAGAGATGTCCACCCTTTGGATAGTCCTTCCTTGTTCCAGATTAATATTCTAAATGGAAACTGCCTGTGACAGGCCAGTGCAAATCCTGATTCCCCTTCTGCCCAACTCTGCTCAATTTATAAGCAGCAATGGTATACAATACCCAAGATTAGGAAAAGCCACAGTCATCTGGAGTTAAACAGTTTTTTAATAAAAGATTACTTGACAACTGCCCTGATGATGAGAACAATTACAGCTCAGAGCTTTGCTCACTCTGCAGCTCACTCTGCAGGCGGCAAGGCTTTGGGCAGACCCAGTCTTCTGACCCCAGCTTGTTTTGTTCACCCTCTTCACTGGCTTCGTTGTCCCAGGATCAGCCAAGCTCCTAAGGGCCCGCCTGTGTTCGCACGCTAGATACTTGACAGCCTTCCCTGAGCCGCCTGGCTCAGGGCACTTGTAAGTGTACTTACCGGATAAAAGTTTAAAAAGAAAAAAGTTTTTATACTGCTTACAATATACGAAACACGGCAGAGGGAGGGGTAGAAGAAATTTTGTAGGCCTAGTATCAAACATCATTACACGTCCAAAGAACTTGGAAAAACCTTCCAGGGAATCAAAGGATTGCAGTTCTCAACTCTCTCCTATATTAAGGCAATCGAAAAAACGAGGGGGATAAAAAGTTCTGCCCCGAGATAACAGGTTGCGAAGTTCGAAGTTGTCAGCAGTTTTAAGTTTACTAGGCTGCCGGGGCAGCCAAGCTCTTCCCGCCAAGGGCACGTGTCTGCTGGGTG